GACACTACTCAGCCTGGAGGTGCTGGGCTTCATCACCAAGTACCCCGACGTCAGGTAAGAGATGGGGTAGGTGTGAGTCTGCCCCAGGGAGCCAAGCTTGGGCTGGACCCTGTGAGGTAGCGCTGCAGAGCAGGCAGAAATCTGAGCTTTTCTCCTCCTCTCTGAAGTACACTCCAGCTTTGAGGGGGTCGTGCACAGTCCCAAGGGCAAAAATGTAAAGTAAAAATAATAAGCGGCTCGGCCGCGGCACTCGCCCATCGGTATTCGGGGGCTGAAATCACAAACCGCCAAACTGGAAAAGTCAGAATCAGCCCAAACCCATGCAATGTCAAAACCAAATCTGCAAGTTTTGCGGTGCTATTTTCTTTAAAACTGGGCTGCTGCAAAGGACCGGCTCTTCCCTGGCCTCAGCTCAGCTTCTCTGGATCGTGGGAGGCTCGCAGGGGTGCCTGTGGGCAGCACCCAACCTCATCTCTTGCTCTTTGCCCAGCGATGAGCACGTCTCCACCTTGCTGGATCTCCGAGGCGACGTCTCCAGGGAGGTGCGGCACATGGTGCTGGAAATGATGGCCCAGCACCCCCAGGTCGTGCCCGAGAGCTACCGCCCCATCTTCAGCACCATCCTGGTCCCCGCGCCGGAGCTGCCCCACTGCCTCGGCAAAGCCAAGTGTGCCTGACGTCGCGCCCCGCAGCCTCCTCCCCGCTGCCCCCGCGGACACAGAGACCACGGGGGAGGTCTCTGAGGCTGAGGAGGACGCGGTCACACATGGCAGCTCACCCTGGGATGGGGACAGTGCGGATAAGTGCCATCCTCCTCTGGCCTTGCCTCGCTGAGCCGACTGTCCCCTGCAAGCCCTGGTCCCAGGAGAGCTGGGTCAGGAGAAAAATCAACCCGTAGCTGTTGCGCTGGCCTGCGGAGATAGCGGTTGAGCGCCTGCAGGAGAAAGCGGAGCTGCAAAAGACAGGAGTCACCACCTGGGGGTGAATCCACATCGCCATGGGGCTGCAGAGATGTTTGGGTTTCCCCGAGAGCCCTCCGAGCCCACCCGGCTTGGCCGTGGAGTCCGTTCCCACTCCAGCTCCGAGGCAGGCTGGAGCCTTGCTGGACCCAGGCTTGCCGGAGGGTTTTAGCCACAGGAGGGCTCAGCCCAGAGGGCTCCGGTGTTGCTTCCACCAGCCTGGTCCCTTCGTGGATGGTGGAGACCAGCTCAACCAGCTCCACAGCTGGAGTCTGAGACTCTCCACCCTCTCGGACAGTGCGGTTACGTCCGGCGCGTCGAGCATCCTCCTGTCCCCGGGTTCTTCCTCTGCTCTTTGTCCAGCCCTTTGGGAGACCTCCACGCTCTGCCTCGCTTTCCGCCCTTGCGGCGGGCCGGACCCTGCTGCCCTTGCTGCCCGAAATAAAGGCCTGAGCTCTGCAATCGCTCACCGGTGTCTGGGCTCTGCTCCCCAGGGGATCAGGACATGTGGGTGACACGGATGCTCAAGCATCACGCCAGGGATGGCCCGAAAGCATCACCCAGGGGCATGAGGGATGATGGAGACACCATATACCCCCCCCCTATGGCTGGGACGGAGAGGACTGTACCGCTCCCCTGGCGCGAGGGACCAGGCAGTGGCACCGGCGAAAGGCTCCGGGAGGTGCCCGTTGTCCTCACTGGTGGCTCACAGCACGCTTGCCCAGCTGGCCACGGCTGCCCCCCAGCCTGGGAAAGCGCCCG